GTGATTTTATCATTTTCAAGGGTGCTTGTTTATACATTTCTGTGCTACATCCTGAGGGGAAGTGCTGCTTTTGCTGACTGAGTTGATTCTGAATCAGTGAGGTCACTGACTTGAGTCATTTTGAAGGAAAACATAACCACAGTTAAACATATGCCTTTGGATTAAACACATTAGGGTTATGATTTGGGCTTATCCTGAAGCCATTGTTGTAAGCAAGCGCAAATACCTGCAAACCATTATGTCAATGTGCTGAGCTTAAGGTGATAATATGTTGGTTTTGTAGCGAAAAGGAGCGTAACGATTTTTTTTTGTGATATTTTCCCAGTAGGTTAACTCATACTGCCAGGAATCTCCAGCGATCCAAGCCGCAGGGGAGAATTATAAACATTTCCATCACCCTGGCAGAGAACTAGTGACAGCCCTGAAGGAGATTCGAACCATGTGCATTTCTGTCTTTTTTATTTACTGCTTGGCAGTGCGGTTTATGAATATTGCACCAACCATGAAATATTTATAGATTATTGATCACTCTGCATTTTGCACTCTTTGCTCTAACAGAGAGATAAATCATTTCTCTTGTATTCCATTAAAGAAGAAAGAAGTGTGGTGTCTATTGCTGGGGCCCTGGGAGGCTCCGGGGACGATGCCCAGACACCATATTAAAGGCGTGGGAAGGATAAAGCCAGGCTCAGCACTAAGGCCCAGCTTACAAGCACAAGCCTTGGTTCTGCTTGTACTGAACACAGCACTGCAATGTTTTCAGTTTGGTTCTCACGTCTTCCCACCATTCTCAGCTACAATTTTAAAAAAAATTTTTATTAAAATTATCCATAAATCACTTAACAGAATTGTAAGTAACTTAACAGTACAGTACAATTAAAAACACAGTGGGCTTGCATGAAGGAATAATGAGCTTTTGCTTAATTGGATAAAATGAAACAGGGTGATGAGTCGGTGCTCAATTAGCCAGTAGAGCCAATGAGAGTTGAGCACAAATGCTGAGCAAGGGCCCCTGTCCCAAATCCAATCAGAGCACCGCCCTGATCCTGCCTCCCCCAGCCCCTCCTGCCTCCTGCTAGGTGAGATGGGGGCTCACATTCATCACAATTAAGGCTGTCTCCAGACAACATTAGTCTCCAAGCCCTGTCTTTTTAGCCATCTCTTAGGGTTCCCCACACAAAACTCCATGGTGCTGTTCTTGCAGGTTCAGTGCTGAAAAGAGCGATTTGAAGGTGAGGCCACAGGCCATCGGCACGTTTCAGATAAAAACGCTGCTTATGGCGTCTACAGGAGGTGTCGGCCTCTCCTTCAATGCCATCCTTCAAACAGCCTGCAAGGCGTCTTTGGGGTTAATTTTTTTCTGCTGCGTGACATTGGCTTCGATACAGTGGCACTACGCTGCAAAATGGGCCGTATTTCCCCATAATGCCGTTAGACACGCACTGCAGAAATAGGTCCGGTTTATTTAGCATGAACCCATTTTCATACCATTTGGTCGCTTTAACTCCTGCTCCAGAGTCCCGCTTATTTAAGAGACTGGACATTCTGGTTGAAGGAGCAGTGCTTTAGGCCCAGAAGAGAGAGAGCGCGAGAGAGAGAGAGAAAGAGAGTGGCATCAACTCGCTTAAATGTAGGATCTCAGCATCGTAAACACGATCAGAGTATGGTGAAAGAATTTGTGCTGCACTCTGCTTTGAAAATCTTCGAAGTTTAGTGGTAGTCCCCTTCAAAAACAGCAAAGGTTACTCCCTTAATTCTAACCTGCCGCTACATTGCACTAGGCACATTATTTTATTAATGTACATAATTTTATTACATTGATTGTCTGGTCTGTCCTTAATTGTTTTGCTCAACACCCCACAGGAAATTCCTTGCATGTAAAAGTACTTGACAATAAATGAAAGATTCTGGTTGATCTTTCAGTGGACTATGAATTTTCTACAAAATACAGACAGAAAAGACATTTTACTGATAGTGGGGCAGAGGAATACAAAAGTTTCTTGGCATCACGTTCACTTCATAAAACAGAAGGTTCAAAGACTGCGTGGAGTTTTATGGTTAAGTGATAATGCAGTGTGAGCCACACATTTATGTAATTATTACATTGTGGGGACCAGATTTCCTTTACTTTTTACCTTTTGGGCATGCTCGTACCTACCATTGAGGACACCAACGTCAAGTCCTCAGTATTTTTTCTGCAAGTCCAATAACCACGATCCATTACAGGGCACAGCTAGGAAGGGCTGACACTTTTGCCCTCGGTATTTAAGAAATCCTGGCTTCAGCCCTGCTTGTTGGAACATTTTTTTGGTCCCCACAAGGACACGCTCAATTTTATAAAAATCTGTGACTGCAATAAACAAACAAAAAAAAACCCCTAAAAAGTCTTGTATTTCGCTTGGTTAGTTATGGTTAAGGTTAGGAGTTATGGTTCCATAGATGGTCCCAATAAAGTTTTGAGTAGTGTGTGTGTGTGTGTGTGTGTATGGTTATGTGGTGTGTGTGTGTGTGTGGTTATGTGTTGTT